GGGCCCCAAGTGGTGGCTCCTTAGAAATTCAGGCTCCCACCAACTCCCCCTTGCCCAGCCTTCTGATAAGAATCCGCATTTCAGCAAGATGCTGATGTGCAGGTGGTTCCCGAGCACATTAAAGTTTGCAAGCTCCCACTAAAGGAGACTTTGACTTTTCTTAACACTCAAAGCTAAGACAACATTTCCGCCAGGGCCATCTCATGACCCTTGACCAGTGGGTCCAAATCAACCTTTCTGCTCCATTCTCCTACTGCACCTATAAGGCTGCTTACTTCCCAAAAGACACACAAGCCAAACTGGAAGTCGATTAACAGAACTGGGGGTGAAGGACTGTATTTCCTGGTCTCAAGCCAAGAAGGCCCACCTCTGGGCAGCTGGGCAGTCCTGAAGCCTGATTGCCCCTGGACATGGGAAGAAGATCTTTTGTAGAAGAAATTTAGATTTGAAATTTCTGAGGCAGAGATTTGGGAAAAGCCCTCCCTCTGTCCAAGGAGGAGATCTTCTAAGGGAGGCCACTTTGTCTTGATGTCCTTGTCTCCACCTTTGAAGGTCCTTGCTGGGGCTCTTACAGCACCTATTTCTCTTGCTCCCCGGGGCTGTTCTCCGTCATCTCTAGTCCGTGACCATCAGCCTGAAAGGGAGCAGAGAGCACATCTCGCTCCTGCTCCTCCAAGGCCCTCCCACCCTCCAAGGTGGACTGAGCACACATCTATCACTGGTAGTGGGAAAACCACTAACCCCTCCCAGACGGGCAGCCCCTTCTACTTCCGAATGACTCTGACCTTTCAGAGCTCTTTGCCGTGTCAGTGTCACCTGCCTCAGGAGGGGACAATCTTCCCAGTGCCCCGTCCAGTGTCCCACTGCCCACTCCTCCCCAGGAGGGAGTGTTTCTTGAGCCCACCTTTTACACCTTGTGTCTTTACAAGGCCTGGGGATCTGAGGTTAAAGCCTTGAAGGGCCTTTGAGTTCTGCCTTCTTCAGGTGAGGATAATGCCCCGACCAACTGAGTGGCAAGAATTTCAGTTTACATTTACCTTCTAACTTCTTACTCTCAATTCTGCTCCTCAGCCCTAAACAACACATTCATGTGACTTGCAATCATGTACTGGAACAGAGAATTACATCTTTCCCAAATGTTCCTTTTCTTATTCCACAGTTCTTATTCCCAATTTTTTTTTTTTTTTGATAGTTCTCAGTTGCATTTCTCTAGCATGGGATTAACTGTCTTCGGGAAATGTGTTCTATTGTGCTGACAAACCCTCCCAGTGTCGGACATGAGGGCTAGGATGGAGCAGACTGGAGTGAACGCCTGGGCACTGTTCTGGTTTGAAGGACTGGAGACCTTACAGTCTGATTTACTGCTGACGTGGCCCTGTGGATGGTACAGAGCTGAACACAGAACAGACCTCCATCGTTGCCCTTGTATGTACCTTTCTTGTCACAATGCTGAGAAAGTAGATTGTCAGGAGCCATTCTACATAATTTTGGGGGAAAATCATTTCACAATTAAATTATGATTAGGGCTGTCTGAGGCCTAGGGTTCCCGTGATGCTGTAGTACCCAAGGGCAGGATTATATCAGCGGAAGACATCCTAGTTCTCTAATAACCGAATAGTAACAAAAAAAGAGAAAGGTTTCACCTGGGGAGGGAAAAATTCCTTATCAGCTTAGCTCATCCCACCTCCTGCTGTAAACTGTGCTCATCTCACCATCCTAATCAACATAAACTCCTCATAGACCTAAGATCCTCATCAGAGGAAGGTCCTTGGTGTCATAGATCCCCCTCCACCCTGAGACATCTGATACTTCCTCCCATTCTAAGATCCTCATGAATTTAGGATTACCGCCACCTTCAGAGTCATCTGATCCTCCCTATGAACTCATAAATAGTGGCAAGCTCCGAGTGTCTTTGTCGTTGCCCAATCTGAGGACCTGACTTCCTGGCCCCCTGTATACTGTGAAATTACACAAGTCTGTTGTCTTTTTTTTTCTTTAGCTCTTGCCGACCCCTTTCTAGGCAGTCAGAGGGTCAGTTGCCCTTCAATAGTAGATGATAGATGAATTCATCCTCTACCATAACAATGAGCCCTTTAACGGAACTGTGGCAAGGTGAGCCTAAGGAGACAATGTCTTCCTGTAAAGGCCAATTCCCTAGAGTGGCGTCTTAGGGCTCATAGCAGACTGGCAGGACATGCAGGGACAGGGGATTGCTCAGTCCCTACCACGTCCCCACTGCTTTCTTCACCCTTCCTGGCTCCCTGACAAGTGAAGCACACAACATTAGGTCTGCGATGCACTGAGTGTGAGAAACCACTGCCATCACGTTAGTTGATTTGGAGCAATTTGTTTTTGCAAAGTTGTCATGGGCTGGAGAAAGGTCCTAGGCAACTAAGGTCATTCCCTCCCAGCCTCCTAGGAAGGAAACCAGCTCTCAGCAGAACACAAAAGCTTGAGGAAGGCTGTCATCCTCTGGGGTAAGATGTTAAAATGAACTATTTTAGCTCTGGTTTTGGCTGGGGCTGCAAGACAATAGCCCCCGCTTGTCAGGGTGAAATGTGAGTGTGACCTTCATTCAGGTGGAAAGCAGTTTTACACTACCCACATCTCACCTGAAGACAAGATTGTAGGGGCTGAGAAACCAGTTAATCAAAAGACAAATTATGGAGACAACTGACCGGGTTGTTTCCAGTGGTTTCAAAGTGGCCCCGCGAGTCCTCTGGAGTTTGGGAGAGATGATAGGTCATTGCTTGGATTTCACAGGAAATCTGAAAGAATGTCATTGGCTGGCAGATCAAAGGAGAGGTGCTGGTAGGACTCAGAATTTGTTGGGTCAGAGCGTGTGAATTGCGAATGTTTCTCAAGGAAGAGATGTGGACCATCAGAAGAGAACCCTGCAGTAGGACTGTCTTAGATCATTTCCACAGGGCAGTCTGGAGGAACAAAGGAGCTTCAGCAAAGATGCTAGAGTTGACCCCAGAGCCTTTGGACTATGGAAGGAACTGTAAGTGAGCATCCAGAGAAGAGTTGCATTTGTCCACACTAAGGGACGGGCAGGTGAGAGATGGTCAAGTTACCCAAGAACTCATAGAAGAGGCAGCAGAATGAGGAATCAGCTTAAAAACACTTGTAGGAACCAGGAAGCAACTCTCAACAGGATCTATCCAGGAAAAACTCTCCCACCTCTTGCCTGTCCTCCTTCCCCCACAATGAGGTAAAGGGTTCTGAGAGCAAAAGAGGTAAGTAGGGGAGGGGCTGAAAACAAAAGTGCGGATAGGGGAGCCAACAGGTGGCCTGAAGCAAGCCTGAGCTGGGGATAGAGTGTAAAGGTGGTTGTTATCTTTGAGTGGAATTAAAAGCTCAAATATCACCCTGACCTCTTGACTAACATTTTGTAACAGGAAAAGAACCAGAAAAACTGCAAGATTTACCCTTAATTTTATCCACCGCCAGGAAAGTATTTGTCCTGCAGGACTACATTTACAGGATGATGGAAGACATCCATTCCGTGGCTTTATGGCCACTCCCATGGGTCATTGTTGGATCTCTGTAACAGTGCAGCAAGGGTCTGAGAAGTGAAATCACATCATTCTGCTACTCTCGTTGCAAGATTCAGCAGGAAATAAATTTGTTTAAAAATATGTTCTGAGTCAGCTATGGTTTAAAGGAGAGGCAAGATTTATAAACCATCAGAACCACAAGAAATATTTTGTATCAGCACCTCCAACTTCACACTGAACATGGGAAAAGTAGGCCCAGAGAGATAAGAAGCCTTTTCCAACTCGCACATAGAGAAATGAAGAACCATATTGCCGTCTACGGTAACTGCTCACAGCGCCCATGTTCAGTTAGGTACCTTTCTTTGTAAAGGCCAAGTTTCTTCCTATTTCCTGGGTCCCAGAGAGATGAAAGCAAAATCATAGGCAAGGTTCTCTGTAGTATCCAAGAAAATCTATACTAAGGATCTAAATTTAGATCCTTTCCTGCTGTCTTCCTGGGCTTGAGATACAGCCACTCTTATATTATGTGTCTTGTGTTGCGTGCTCTAAACCCGTCTGTGAACACAAACCTGCAGATCTAACTGTCTCTCATTGTGTCATAGTCATCTATCCCTCAGACACTTTCCTAGGCTCAGGCATTTGTCTCGTGTAAGACAGAGTCTCCACACAGTGCCTGGAACAGAACAAGTATCCGCAAAGGTTTACGGAGTAACACAGCGGCTCAGCTCTAGTTTGATTGCCTCTGTGCTTTCCATAGATCAACAACATTACTTTCAAAGACAGATAGAAGGTGAACATGTCTGCTCTTCCTTGAGATTCATGGTCAACTCTTTGCAAATCTGCAACCCAGGGCTGCTTGGTGAGGAAGGAGCTCCTCCCAGGGGCATGGACACCCCTGCTGCAGACAACACTGTGGTAGAAGATATGCACAGGTGATCCCCTGCTGCCCGCCCCCTGGCCATGTTTCCATCTTAAAATATTCTGTGGCTGGTGGTATAAAAGGAGTTCAACACTTGGGCCACTCTCCATCCTGGGGTGAGGAAAACTCCAGCTCTTGCCAGAACACATATTTCATACATGGCCCAAATTCCTACAACCATAGACACTTTGTCACAGCATTTCTTCCCAGGCAGAACCAACTTCATTTATTCTTTAGCCCTAGATTCTGTGGATTTCTTAGTTCCTAAGTCTCCTAGTCCTTCAACTGATCAAAATATGCTCGGAGCTTCAGTGACAGTAGAGCGAAGGAAAATCACTCCTTAGATGTGATGATCTTGTGTCTGAATGCCGACACATAGGGCTCAAAGAGTGCCAGCTCTCAATAGCAGGAGCGACTACTTTCCAAGGCCACCTGGGCTGGGGACAATCTAGGCCGGCTCTGGGTGTTCCTGGGGTCCCGCAGAGAGGCAGTCATAAGCCTCCAGGGACCCCTCAGCAGCCCCTTCACATCCCAGCCTGAGGTAAGGGCCGGCAGGCAAGGGGAAGCTGGATGAGGCCTACCTGACTCCATCCTTCCTTCCTCTCTCTCTGGGGCCTTCTCGGAGGCTCTGGGGGTCCCGCGGAAGGGCTGGTGGCTGAAGAGGTCATCACACAGAAGGCTGCGGCACAGCTTGGCCAGGAAGCGGAGGACGTAGCCAACGCTGTTCACCACGGGCAGGCTCCGCAGGTGCTGTTTTCCATCAAAGGACGCGGACACTGGAGAGCCAGAGACAGTGGTTGTGCCGGTCAGTCAGCCCCAGCAAGGGGATGTCAGCTGTCAAGTAAGCTGTGTTTGGATTTCACCTGTTATCTAATGTCCCGCGTGTGTTACGGGTTCCCATCTGGGACGCCATATTGCATTTAGATGGCAAGTCCCTCCTTGTCTTTTTGTTCTCCGGCAGTTGCTGGGCCTTTCCTAATCTTTCATTAGCTTGACAACTTTGAAGAATCCTGCTCAGAAACTGTGTAAAACGCCCCTCAGTTTGGTTTGTCTGATGTTTTTCTCATGGTCAGACTGGGATGGTGGGATTTTCGGACAACAGAGATGAAGTGTCCTTTGCACCAGTCAGATCAGGGACATTCACACAGCACAAGTGGGGGTGCTAACCTCTGTCCCCTGGCCAAGGCCACCTTCCTCTGCTGGATTCTCTATTCCAGTGGTGGTGAACCTATGGCACATTGCCTCAGTGGGCTGTTCGCATCATTGAAAGCTCCAAAAGGTTCCCCATCGCTGCTCTGTTCTGTTCCTTGGGAACAACTCAAGAAGTCCAGCCAGGAATGATGCTGCATGCCTACAATCCCAGCACTTGGGTTGCTGAGGCAGGAGGATCAGGAGTTCAAGGCCAACCTGGAAATTTTACTATAGAGAAAAGTTGTCCCAGGACTTCTTCCCCATTTATTTATTTATTCAGTCATTTATTAATTTCAGGACAGTCTCACAGTATTTATTCTGTGCCGTGGGTTACACTTATGATTCTGTGGCAGGGTTTTCACCTGGGGAGCTGCTCCAGCATGACTCCGATGCCCCTATGACAGGCCCTCCCTTTTATCCAGCACCTCTTTGGTTTCAGGACCTCAATACACCTCGGGTTAATCTCCTCGCTCCGGCTCTAGAAGTAGCCCTTTCTCCCATGGTCCTGAAGATCCTCCATCTCTGTGAAAAACCATCTCTCACTTGGTGACCAACCTCAAGGTGGTGGCACAAGGAGTCAGCTCAGATTTGTGCCCTTCTCCAAGATGCCCAGAGAGTGTTTCAGCCTGGCGTAGGAGTCAGCTCAGATTTGTGCCCTTCTCCAAGATGCCCAGAGAGTGTTTCAGCCTGGCCTTCCCAGGGCTTCCCTCAACCAAGGGAAACAGCCCCAAGTGGCAAGTCTTGGTCCACTTTGGCCTTGCTCTTCCCCAGTGCCAAGATCCTTAGGTCACAACACGCCTGACCAGGAAAGTGGGAGCAGAGTCCCCTCTCCAGCTTATACAATGCAGTCCCCTGAGGGCCACTCAGGGTGGGTGCAGAGTGAGGAGGAGCCCTCTTAGCACCAGGTCTGTGCCCTGAGCCCCAGTGCAGCAAGGAAAGCCAAGGCGTTTGGCTTGGAGGGTTGCCTGTGACCTAGAACCTGGCTTCTACATGGAAATCAGAAGACCAGCAAGCAGCTCTCGGAGGGGCTGCCACAGGACTCTCCTCCTTCTCCCTCTGCCAGTATGTCATCTTATATTTCTGTTCACTTCCACTGAAGTCTCTTAAAAATCACACTGGGTCAGAGACACACCTCAGACCTGCCAAGGTCTATTCCAGTCAGTCACCAGCAAGTCAGGCCATAGGATCTGCAGGGCCTGCCAGGTTCCCACGGGGCCAACTCTACAAGGTGAACCGGCACCATTGGAGCTGGAACGTGGCAAGCAATGCCTTCCCCATACCCAGCCTTGGGACTGGGGTTACACAAAGTGCCCCTGCTCGGGTTATGCAGGATGCAGCCACCTCAGAAGCCCGCTCCCCCTGACTCTTTCTTAGCTAGTCAGCAGGGTCAGCTGCATTGCCCCATTGCCGGAAATCTCCTCCCTTTCCTTAGTGCTGTGGGAGGCCTGTCCATGACACTGGGCCAGAGGGAGATATCAAGCTATCCCCTGGGACATGAGACATCTTGCAAGGGCCTGGTGCTCCAGGGCTTAAGGGCTGGTAGTGACACCCATTGTGTGGTGCCCGGGGTAAGACAAGCAAAACACCTGCAGGGATGGAGCAAGCCATTCTGCACCCTCACTTGGTGGGAGCAGAGGTGGCCCCCTCTGGAAGCTGTCAACTTAGGGCAGAGACTGGAGGAGAGCTCTGACAATGAAAGAAGGGATTTCTCAGATTTCTGGAAGGCCTCTTTGAGATGGGGTTGAAATCATGGACTTCCCCTCCTGTCCTTCGTGATGTTAAATTCTGTGAAAAAGGGATGGAATAAAGCAGACTAGAGATTGACAAAAGCTGATATATTAGACAAGGGGTCAGAAAAGGATTGTGTGATATGGTGGCATCGGAGTAGAAGCCTAAAGGATGTCCACCAGCAAGTCACCGGGAGAGCTGGGGGAGAGCATTCCAGAAAAAAGAGAATGGCAAGTGCAAAGGCTCTGAGGCAGGAGCACGACTGAGGGATAGAAGGAGAGTGAGGAAGCCACTGCGACTGGACCAGGGTAGTAGTGGGTGAGAAAGAAACAAAGAGGTAATCAAGGCCAGCTCACCGAGGACTATGAGCCCTTGTAGGAGTGGGGCTTGTGCTTGGAGTGACATGGGAGCTCTTGGAAGGTTCAGCGTAGAGGAGAGGCATGATCTAGCTTAGGTATTTTAAAAAGAATCGTAGTGATTGTTGTGTGTCGGGCTGAAAGATAGTTGGATTCTGGATGCATTTTGAAAGTAGATCAGTAAGATTTACTAAGGGGCTGGCAGTGGGGGAGAGGAGACAGAGAGGAGTCAAGAGTAAGGGATCCCGTGTCCACTCGTCTGGAAGCAACTTCTGGAGGACCCTGGAGCCCAGCGGGTGGAGAGCTGCCCACACCCTGTCACGTACCTGAGGTCCTCTTCAGCCCTCCTTGTGGCCCTGGCCCAGGCCTTACCTGACACCAGCTCGCCGCTGTGGCCCTGCTTGACCAGGGAGAAGACGCGCTTCTGCTGGTGGGCGCAGTCGATGCACGCTTGCACGGCCTGCTGCAGGACAGCCGCTGGCCGCTCGGGCCCCAGGCGCTCAGGGAGCTGCTGCAGCTTCTGCCTCTCCAGGTAGGGCCCTGCGTCGGCATGCTTATTGACGTACAGGCAGACTGTGGGGACAGAGACCACAAGGCCGGTGCATTTGACCAGAGTCCGGCCGGCTGGCTTCTCCACGCTCCAGGGCTACCTCCGTCGTCCCCCCTTGGCCTTGGCCTTGGAAAGGGCAGATCCTTTCTGATCAGTGAAGCAAAAGAGGCCAAAGAGCCAAACACCCCCACCTTCCAGGGCTTGCTCTCAAGGCCTCGTGGGTAAGCAAAAGAGGCCAAAGAGCCAAACACCCCCACCTTCCAGGGCTTGCTCTCAAGGGGCCTCGTGGCAGGGAGCCGTGCGGGGTGGGTCCCCCTGGCATGTGCAGATCCAAGCCCACGACTGTGAGGGTAGCCCATGTGACTGTGTGTGTGTTTGCGAGCGGGGCACGTGCACTCCCAGCCTTCCCACGCCCCTGTGAAGGTGCTGTCCTGCCAGACATAAAGGCAGCCATTTCCTCATTATGTTTCCTTTTTTTGTTGCTTCACAGATATAATCAAAATGATCTCTTTCGGAAGCTCTCTTGTGCATTTTTGTTGGCAAGATTTTTTTCCTGTCGCACTATTTTTTTAAACTAATTTTCTTAGTACTCTTTGGGTATACATAATGATCACAATTCATCGTGGGGAATTTGTACCGATACATGATGTATATTGATTCTTCTTTTTTTCCCCCATTCTCCTACCCTGCCTTCAACCTTTCTTCCCCTCCTGACTTACAAAAGCTTTATTGCCATTTTCCCCCTTCTATTCTCTCTTTTTTCCCTTTTCCTTCCTCCCCCTCTTGTTCCCCTTCCCATTTGAATTTTTTTCTACTTCCCAATATCTATCATTCATTTTGATCATTATTTATGCTATGGATGAAAACTGACATGATGTTAATTACTCCGGAGACTATACATTCAATGAAGTTCCAAAGACAGTGCTATTTATAATCTCAGAGCAAATAAAATTCCAAAATAAATATTCAAATATTGAAATAAATATTCAACCCATTTAGATGAGCTCAAACTAGGGTCCCCACACTTTCAAGGTCATATATCTTATAGGAAAAAAAATTGAGCACATACTTATAGGCTATTTATATTCTTAATTGTATTAACACACTGTGTACATTTTTACAGGGAATTATTAAATTTAAGTAACCTAAATCTACAAATAATGTTACAATGTCTACAAAACCAGTTTTCCATATAAATCAATTTAGGTAAATTGCAGAGGAATCTGAATGGATCTTGTAATTTAAAAGAAAAAAAAATAATCTCACAAATTCATTTCTAGGAGAAAACTTTTCTACAAAGAAAACTGCTCACTGAGTTGGTTATCATCAATATAACTGGCTTAGCCCTTTGGATTAAGTTCAACTTAATTTTGTTCTATGACAATGACATCAGCTCCCACCTCCCGCTGCCTCTTCCACCTGTAACTTGACACTAGTTTCCTAACTAGTTAGCCTGTTTGCAGACTGACTTGGTGTAATTCATCCCACCCTTTACTACTAGCTCAGTTGTTCTAAGCTTTATAAATAGCAATCATGTTATTATTACATTGCTTTTAAAAATCTCAAAGTTGGGGCTGGAGATTTAGCTCAGTGGTTCCACTGCCTGTCTCACAAGTGCAAGGACCTGGTACCCCCAAAAAAGAAAAACTTCAAAGATCCCTCACTGTCTATGACATCCAGCCTGATTCCTTAAGTGAAGTGTTCTCTAGCCTGCCTCCTGAGAAAAACTGCTCCATATAAGATAGAAAAGTTATTTCTCTTCTTTTCAGTGACAAAGTGAAACACTACCTCATATCCAAGGAATAGAAATTTTGCAAAGATGAGATTAAAAACTGAATTTTAGTAACAGATGTCGTATCTTCTTCCATATGTTAATGACCCTTCCTCAAGTTTCGGTCCTTATTCCTCACCACGTCTCACCCCATCCTCCCAGGATGGAGCTTGTTACCTTGCAAACCACTGTTGCAAATGGGTGTTGAAGAGGGATTTTTAAAGAAGACACCAGTAGGGTTTTGGAAGGTTAAATAGTAACAGTCTAGATGAAGAAACTTAATTTGTACTGAGCAAGCTCTGTATTCTCAGGACAAGCCTGTGAGGTGGGTATCAGAGGACAGTTCAAAGTCTGAATCAGTGGTGCAGCAGGATCTGGACTCCAGGCCTGCTAAGACAGGATTCCTTCTTGCCCACCATCCCAGAAGAAAAGGAAAGTCTGTCAGGCATTAAGTATGAGGAAAAACAGCTACAGACGGGCACAGGCACTGCTCTTACAGAGCTTATGGACCAGTTCAGGAGGCAGACCTACTCTCACAGAGCCAACAGGGTCTCTGTGGGAGACTGAGACCTTGAGAAGCCCAGGCAGATCTAGGAGCGCCTATACTGGGACCCCTTCAGGACAGGCCACTTGGGCTTTCTGGAGGGAGGTATGCCCAAGGGCAATAAAGGAGAGGAATAAGGTGACCCAAGGTAAGCTCATTCTGGAGGGAGGAGGGGAATATACTGAGACCTGATAGCCAGCCATGGGGACTCAGAGATGCATGGTGGGCAGGATGTCAGGAGGTGTACATGCTGGCGTCTTGTAAGCCATGTTACCAGGTTTGTTCTTCACCCGAGAGCAAGGGGAGGGTCATGGATTAGTCTCAGGTTCAGAAGTGGGGCTTTTGGATGGTTGTGGGATCATAGTGGCACTATACTCATCAGTGGATTCCTCCATTAATGAGTTCCTAACTGCTGTGCAGTTCAGAGGTGGGGCCTGGATGGAGGTGTGTCACTGGAGCTGTGACCTCGGTTGTATCTTTGTCCCTGGCTCCTCCTTTCCCCCTCTCTCTCTCTCTCTCTCTCTCTCTCTCTCTCTCTCTGCTTCCTGGCCACCATGAATGTGATCAGCTTCCCTTCACCAGGTCCTTCCACCATTTTCTTTCTGCCTTGGAGCTGGTCAACCATGTATACGGAACCCACTGAAATTGTAAGCCAAGTTTCTGCTATTGGTTACTTCGTCCTAGTGAAGCAAAGGTAACTAATAACAGGAGGGGACTTCAGGGACTTAAGTGAGAGAGGAGTATGAAGTCGGGTTGTGATGAGGGGCACTCATGTGAGGCGGGGGGAAGAGGGTGAAGGAAACAGTTGGCTTTTTTTGATTCTTCATTAGTCAAAGAGATTAGCGTACTCACTATACTGACCAGACTGGAGGGTGTTACATAGAACTGAGAGAGATTAGCATCCTTTGGAATTCTGAAAGTGCAAAGATAGGAATGGAAACACTCAAAGTGGGCAGGTTCATATTGGTGTAATGGAAACTTGGCTCCAAAAAAGAACATCTGACTGTACTTTCTTATCCAACCCCAAAGCAACCAGCTGAATCCAAAGTGCAATGAAAACCCAGTTTCAAATAATCCAACTGCAAGACAAGTACACCCAGGTTTTCTGAAACTGGAATCATCCTATCAGTTGTCCAGCTACCACTTTGGACCCATCCTTTAGCTCTTTCAGTGGCACACAAAGTAACCGTGTCACCTCACTACCTCCAGACAGTGCAGCCATGGGGTTCATTCTGCTGACCTACCTGTGAGCGCCTGGGGGGCCGCCAACCTGGGTATGGTGGCTGCGTCCTGAGGGATGGAGCTGAGGTCAGGCTCTGGGGTGCTCCTCGGGGGTGAGAGGGCTAAAGGAGTCATGAGAACCCGAGACTTGAGCTGCAAGAAAGAGTCCATTTGGTCAATGAAAGTCTAGAAATGCTCTCTACACCATCCCAAAATCTTTTCCGACTTCAGTTAGCCACTGCTACTCTACTACGCTTCCACACATTTCTGCTGTGCAGCTGTGGAAGATGAGCTTCAGATTCAAGTTGAAGCTCAAGGTTTATATTTAGAGGGGCACTCAGAAATCAGCTCTACACCATACCCAGGAAATGACCGGCACACCAGGCACTGGGCATGGGAACACACAGAGCTGTGGCTAGTTGAAACCCATGAGCCCTCTGGGGAGGGACAGTGCCCTGTCTGTGCCCCTGTGCTGTCTAGAATCCCTTAGACAAGCCTTTCCCTACAACTACCCAGGGACTGACTGACCCTGAAGCTCTCCACATTATGCTGAGCTCTCTGCTCACGCAGACCCCTGGGTCCTTCTGGCAAAGAGAGCAGGAGCCATTCCCCCAGGGGCTGACATCCTGCTTGGTGTTAATTTCCTGCAGCAGAATATCAAAAGTAGCCTGCACGTGGACAGTGGTGCACTTCTGGTAGTGAGCAGTGGCCACCTTCAAGATCTCATTGAAACACCAAATGAGGGCCTGAATTTTGCTCTCATGGAAAATGGCACATTGATGGTATCAACATCAAGGAGTCACCCTCTGTACCAAGCTTTACAGAGACATGCTTGTAATCTTAGCTTTCTACCCCCAATATGAATAAATCAGTCACTGCCTCTCTTTACCACTGACCTACATCTGGACCCCATTCCAGACAAACTACATCAGTCTCTGGGAGTGGGACTCAAGAGTCAGGAATTTTTAAAGACACTCAAATTCTAACACGTAGTTAAGGTTGAGGACCACTGCTCAACAGAAGTTCTCAACTTTTACAAGCAGACTTTCAGATTCTGATTCAGACATGCAAGGGTAGAACCTTGAGATTCAGCATTCCAGTATCTCCCAGGTGATACTGACAATTCTGGCCTCTGGCCCATAGCTTGAATAGAAAGTTGTGTACTTTGTTAATATATCCATATTCTAATTTTCCTCTTATGTTTTTAGGATAGATTACAGTAATAGTCATGAGAAAACAGTAATCCAACTTCTAGTTATCTGGTCATTCCATATCTATTCATTTATTCATTTAACAAACATGTATTTTGAACCTGGTCACATCATACACTCTTCTGGCTGCTGGGGATACAACAGGGAACAAAGCATTTTAAAAAAAAGAGAGAGATTTTTATCTTTGCCCTCATAGAACTAATACTCTATCTTGGTCACATCATACACTCTTCTGGCTGCTGGGGATACAACAGGGAACAAAGCATTTTAAAAAAAGAGAGAGATTTTTATCTTTGCCCTCATAGAACTAATACTCTATTGAGGGGAGACAGATGATAAACCACATAAGTACATATATAATACAGGATGCTGGAAGTTGATGATGAAAATGAAGAAAGAAGAAGCGTGGGAAGGCCATTGGAGGAGATATACTTGGGACTGAAATTTTTGAGTGGTCAAGGCAGTTTGGGGTGACACTGAACAAGAATTTGGAGAAACAAATCATTCTAGGTGAAGAATATTCAGGCAGTGAAAATATCAAGTGCTCAGGTCCTGAGGCAAGAAGATGCCTGAGAGTTTGTGCAGCTGTAAGGAAGCCAGGTGAGATTGGAGAGGTAATCCACTGAGACCAGGCAGGGCTTTGCAAGACATTGTGACCTTTAGCTTTTTCTCTATGCTCTTTTGAGCAGGGACACAATAGGATTTAAGCTAGCATTTGAATCATCTTCTTGACTGTTGTGTTGAGAAAAGGCTAAAAGAGGCAAAAGTGGGGGGACACTAATCTAGAGCAGAAAAGAGATGATGTGGGGATGTGGGGGAAGAGAGACATTGATTGACTATGAGGGTTTGGGTCAGGAGGGCCACTCGTGGACTAAGGCTTGTTGAAGGTAGGGAAAGTGAAGTCGAAGATGGAGAAGATTTAGGGGTTAGTTTGGGAATAAGATGCCTACTAGGCATCAAGTGGAGATGTTAAGTAGGCATTTGCATATAGTAGACTATGGAGATGGGAGGAGTCCAAATCAAAATATAATTTGGGAATCACAAATGTATAGAATTGAAATTTGAGGCCATGACAGTGGATGAGATGGTCAAAGAAGTGCACGTAGATGGAGAAGGGAAAGATCCAAATATTGAACCCTTCACGACTCCAACCAAGAGAGATGGGAGGCATAAGAAGGAACCAGCAAAAGAAACCAGGAAAGAGTATCCAGTGGGCTAGAAAGAAAACTTGAAGAGAATAGTGCTGTAGGCCTCAAATGGAAGGAGTGTTTCACGGAGGAGAGAGTGGTTGAGCATGCCAAATGCTCTATCACACAAGGAGACTAAGATTGGCCATTAGATTTAGCAATTTATAGCAAAAGAGTTGGTGGTGTAATGGGTCACACTGAAAAAAGAAGAATAAATCTTACTTGTTACTGACATGGAATTGACATTTTAATGAGGGAGAGAGAGAGAGTAAACAAATTAGTACACGACATAAGATACTGGAAGGTGGTAAGAAATGATGGTGAAAAATGAGGGGACATGGGACGTACAATTGAAGAGTTGTACTTTGGATTGAAATTTTAAAGGGGAGTGGTTCCCAATTGGAAGATGCATAGGCGATAATGGGAAGAGAGGTATTGGGATCAGGAAGTAAACTCTTTCAAGGAGTTTTGTGATCAAGAAGTGGAGCAGAGAATCAGCCATAGCAAGAGGGAAAATTAGAATTCAAAGATTTTTTTTGCCCCCCAATCAGATGTCACATCATATACATTAGGATGGTGACTATTAAAAAAAATACAAAAAACAAGGCCAGAGATTTAGCTGAGTGGTGCTGCTGCCTGCCTTGCAAGTGCAAGGACCCTGGTACCAAACAAACAAAAAAACCAAAATCAAAAACAGAAAATGGCTGTTATGGCTTTTATCTAGATGTCCCCCAAAGCATTCAGAGTTGGGGCTCTTTGGGGGTGGTTGGATCTAGGGTGTATGTCTATGAATTAGGGGTGTGTGTGATTACTAATTAGTCCACTGATGGGTGCAACAGTTTTTGGTGTGGATAATGTCAAGGCCCACCCTTGGTATGGGAGGCACCAACCAATAGGCTTGTAGTTTGGATGGAATAAAAGGGAAACAGAGGCTTGCTGCTTGCTGCCTGCCCTGCCACGGACTATTTCTCCTCTGTTATGCCCCTCTGCTGTGCTACCCTGCTTTGGAGCCAGTCAACTATGGACTGAAACCTTTGCAAACTGTGAGCTAAACTAAAACTTTCCTTCTTTAACTTGTGAATGTTGGGCGTTTTGTCCCAGCAATAAGAAAGTAAGACAGAAGTTGTTATTTAATAAGTGCAAAGCTTCAGCTCTGCAAGACGAAAACATTCTAGAGATTGATTGTCCAACAGTGTAAATATACTTACCACTACTAAGCTATGTGATAGATATGGTTCTAATGATCGATTTTATGCTATGTGATTTTTAAATTACACTTTTAAAAATTTAAAAAAAATTTTTGTTTTTGAAATGGGAGGAGTAAATTTTAATGCTGATGCAAATAACCCAGTGGAGAGAAAATTTTTAATTTTATGGAAAAATAAAACAAAACCTCATAACAAAATAAGAGAATAACTATAGGTCATTGTCTTCAAAAGAGTTACTCAGAGACAAAAAAGATTCTCTCTTACAAAGAAGAAATAGAAAATAACACAAAACTTTTTAATGAACTAAGAGAAAATAGCAGTGTA